AAGGAAGCAGGGTCAGGGAGGTGGCCATCTGAGTCTGAGGCCACAGCTTTGCCTGTCCTGGCCCAAGAGCCAGCCCTGATACCAAGGGTGTTGGCTTCAGGTTCCTTTAGGGCCCTGTGGGGAGACGGAGCTTGCTAAATGCCTTACACATGGCTGGAAGAAGGGGGCTGCTCTAGGGTATGGCCCAGAGGTTCTTCCCAGGCCCTTTAGCTGGAGGACCAGTAACCACCCTACCTCACAGCTGCCAATGGATGCTATAGTAACCGAGTTGCCATGAGACCCTGGGGAGATTCTCTGAGGGGAGGTCCAAGATGTGATTTCCCCTTCTACCCAACAGCGTCCCTTCTGGACACAGACAGGACCCTCAGGTGCACAGACCTGACAGTGGACTTGGTACCTGCCGTGCAAATCAGAATGCTTCAGGGGATGTTACTCTTGAGAAGGGGGCACGGTGCTTAAAAGAAAAGGTAAAGTAGATTTCACATTCTGATATCAAGAAGAAATTCGACTGACATTTAGTCAAGAGCGAGGACAAGAGTGACAGTTGTGGGCCACCAGGGAACTCAAAGCCAACCACCAGAATTCCCCAGCTGCCCCCACAAAGGGACCAGGGATGCCCCTGCAGACCCCAGGGGTCTGCTGGGGCACTGGCAACCAGGACAACAGAGAGTACAAGCCAGCACCTCCCAATCCAGGCATCCTGCTTTGGAGGAAGTAAGTTGGGAAGAAAGATATTTGCACACAAATTCTTAGAGCTCTGGTCCTTGTTAATGATGCAAAACTGGAAATCACCCAAATGCTCAGCCGTTGGGGAAGAGAGAAGCAGCAGACATGCAGTCATCCTGGGTCATCTTAGCTCGGGTGTCATTATTAAATGAGGGGCCCCAGGGGTTTTGCCCAGGAGATCCAGGGCTGCCAGGGCCAGCCCCACTGACTTGATCGGAATAATTTTATCTGTTTCGGGATTAGGGTGACACTTGAACACGTGTTAGGTGTTTTAAGAAGAAGAAAACACTTTGCTGGTTAAAAACAAGTTTCAGATCCACTTGACTGGTCTGTTAAGGACCCTCCCAGCCCCTTCTCCCTCATTTGCTCCTCTTGTCCAGGTGTCTACCCTCCACGCCCAGGATGCCGCAGACATGAGGTTTAGGAACCCACAGTCCCCCCCATCCCTTCAGGAGCACAGCAGCTGTGACGGGGAGAGGAGCTAATGTTGACCACTCTGGGCACTTTAGAAGAGGAGCTTTTTTGAATCCTGACAACTATGGGGGTGAGTAGGGAGGATTATTATCATCTCAGGGTTTAGAATCATAGCAAAGGATAGTATTTCACAGCAGAAAAGCTCTTTAGGGGGAATGGTAATTGACATTTTGGGTACTTTTTTTCATGGAAAAGTTGGTTAAATATACAACACACAATCCCAGGGCTCAGAATTGTTAGATGTGCTGGTGGTCGCGCTTGACTGTTATGAAACCCGTCTCCAAGAACCCTCCCACATCCCGCCTACTGAGGGACCTGAGCACTCCGATGGTGGCTGAGGGGTTGAAGATGATCTCGGCCCCGTTGATGCTGTACATGAGCCAGTTGAGGGGGTGGTGCCGCCCGTAGCAAATGTTCACTGCGATCCTCCCAAACTGCGTCTGGAACACAGGATGGCCCAGGTTTCCCTCCATGTAGTAAGTGGACTGGAAAACAAAGGGTAGTACGCTGAAACCCTGAAGGCTTTCAGCTGTAAGGTTTCCCTGTCCTTAGACTTTCCTTTCCCTTTCCTTTTTCCCTTTCACTTAGAAAAAGTGAAATATTGCCAGTACTCCAAAAGTGACACTCTTAGGTGTGACTCTAAGTTTCAAATTTTCAATATGCTCCAAAACTAAAGAAAGAAACAAACAAAAACCCAGACACAATAGCTACAAACCAATGCAAGAGGAAATCACCATGGCTTAAGCATTTACTCACAATCTCTTTTGTGACAAGTCAAAAAAAAAAACAACCCAAAAAACCCCCCAAAAAACCCAAAGCCACTTCCCACAGTATTTTCAAGGATAAACGTTGGTTAGGTTTCAGTCATGGTACAACTTAAAGCCTGAGGTTTGGTCAGTGATAACATGAGCTGGTCAATGTCCTCACCAATCACATGTTCCTATTAAGAATGTCAGAGCTGAAGGGACCAGAAGCTCATTCAGAGCAACCTTTGCCTGCTGGGGGAGAACACTGGAGCCCGACTGGGCATGTGACTTGCCCAGCTCATGCCAATCTGAGACTAGAACTCACACCCTGAGAGTGCTCTTCTCCACAAAGTCCCTGGGCATCCTACCTGGGGCTAAGGATGTCCCTGCAGGGCACACAGGTGGGACACAGTCCGGCCGGCCCTCCCTCGCCATCTCCCAGCTCGGGCTGCTGGACCTGGGACATTTTCATGGATGACGCTGGCGATGGGTAGTGGGCAGGTCGGATCCCAAACAGATCTCCTCCCGGAGCATTTTGCCTCCTCCCATTAATTTCAAAATTTGCCAGAGTTGGACAGCAACCAGGATGTGCACATGTGGTGGACACTGGAGCAGACCCTGGGGCATTGGGACAAGCCCTTCAGTATCTTTAGGGAGCTAAAGATTAATCCCAGGGTAAACAGCTGAGGGGCACGTCTTCCTGTCCTCATGTCCAGCTGTTACTGAGAAACGCTGGGTTCTTCTTTCTCCCTAGGGAACTTCAGCTAGCTCTGCAGATCCTTTCTAGTCTACATGACCAGCCTGAGAGTGGCTGGCACCCCCACAATCAGGGTAGGCAATGAAGGACTGGGGACATCATTTCCTGAACAATTGCTTATTACTGATCAAGTTCAGATTTCATAACTTAGGTATTAGGTGGAATTCATTTCCCTCCTTCAAATGTCCACTCCCTCCATCCTACCCACCCACAAATTGGCATTAACCAATCAAAACAGCAACCCTGACTTATACCCTGATCACAAGCACGAAGCCCCACCTGACACACATGTGCACAGATGCCACTGTCACCCAACACATGAACGTGGCTGACTCAGATCCCACGTGAGCCCTGGACAAGTACCCCTGCTCCACAAACAAGGACTAGACTGTGATGGGTAAGGAGCTCAGAGCCTGAAAGGGGCTACAGAAATTATTTCACATTTGTGCATGATTTATTTTGGTTTAATTTATGTACTGCTTACTTAAAAGAAGAATTTCAGGAAGCCAAATCAGGTAATATTAAAAAAAATAATAATAACCCCTCTGTGTTAAAGGTGTTTGGAACTCTTCCGGGAATCACCCCCGAATCCCGTCTGTCTGTGAGATGTGGGGTAATGTGGAGAGACCCCTGGGAACTGCAGACACACTGTGTTCCAGTGTCGCATGATGTGACATGACCCAACATAGAACTTCCCTAACAGAAGGGCCCAGTGAGATCTATGCACAGGAAAGTGAGCGAGCCGGGTTGGTCATGTGAGGGACAGCCCACCTCGTTGAAATCACCCACTCTGGGGATGTGGTTTTTCCTGGTCTTTCCAAGGACTGCTCCAGAATTGGAGATCACCACAGCTGTGTTCCACAAAACGTCCCCGTGCTCTCCGTCTCGTTCCAGGATAGGGGATACCACCACCAGGTCATGCTTCTTCGCCAACTGAAAAAAATGATAAATATAGCAGAGTCCTACTTTCAAATCAACTGCCATAGGTTTGTTTTTTTTTTTACTGAAGAATTCAATGGTTCTTCTAAATAACTAGTTTTGGTTCAGAGCCATCACTTGTTGTTTGGAAGACTAAATGCCAGTGTTGTCCTGATGCCCAAGCTGCGCAAAATAAGAATAATCGTCCTGTGTGCTGTTGGTGGGAATGTAAAATGGTGCAACCCCTGTGGAGAAGCAGTATGGTGGTTTCTCAAAAAAATAAAAAATAGAACTATCATATGATCCAGCAATTCCACTTCTGGGTATATATACAAAAACATTGAAAGTGCTGTCTAGAAGAGATATTTGTACATCCATGTTCATAGCAGCATTATTCATAATAGTTAAAAGGTGGAAGCAACCCAAGTGTCCATCAATGAGTGAATGGATAAACTAATGTGGTGTATCCATACATATTATTCAGTTTTAAAAATGAAGGAAATTCCATGGATGTCTTCCTTGAGATAGATGAACCTTGAGGACATTATGCTAAGTGAAATAAGCAAGTCACAAAGGGACAAATACTATATGAGTCCAATTTATGTGAAGTGTCCAAAGTGGTCAAATTTGTAGAAACAGAAAGTAAAACCTTGGTTACCAGGTGGAGGGGAGTTGTTTAATGGGTATAGAGTTTCAAATTTACAAGAAAACTTCTGGAGATGTATTTCACAGCACGGTGAATGTACTTAATACTACTAAACTCTGCACTTAACCATGGTTAAGACGGTAAATTTTATGTAATTTATTATTTTTTACACAATAATAAAAGAAGAATAATCATACCTGTCATCTACGAGTATATCAAGGAAAAGAAAAAAAAGCTCTCTGACACTGAATTCCTTTTGTCTCAAATAACAGCATCAGGACCTGGTGACCATCAGGATGAGCAGACCCAGCCAGTCATTTGTCCTCAACTCTAACTAACCTGTCATTACCTTTGGCCTTAAATTCAGGAGACAGGGGAAAGCACAGAGGTGGAAGGTGCTGCTGTGATTTGTGTAAGGGCGGCCATGAGTCCCTGGGCACACAGGTGTTCCCAGCACCAGATCTCATTCACATTCTTCCTTTTCTCTTCCTCTGGCCCTGGTTCAGGTATGTCATCTGCAGTCACCTCCTAACCAATCCCCTTCCTCTTTTCTTCCATAGCACGGAATCAACAACCTGACAGATGGGAGATTTTTTTGTTGTTGTTTCCTATAGCTTGAGAACACTGATGTTTGGAATCACCACTCAGTATTGACAGAATCACTATGATGACACTTCTGCTCAGAAAACCCCTAAATATATATATATATATATAAAGTCTGAAATGGGATATGGAGAAATGACAGTTCTTTTGTTTGAGGTGAGAATAAGGATAAGTTATTGTTTGTAACCTCTTTAAATGTTAGGGTTTTCTTTTTTTGATAACAGCTTTATTAAGACATAATCCAGATAGTATAAAAATCATTCTTTTAAAGTGGTCTTTGGTACATTCACAGAGGTGTGCGATCATCACCACAATCTAATATCAGAACATTTTCACCACCCCAGATGAAAACCCTATACCCATTAGCTATCACTCACCCCCCACCCCCACCCACGCTTTCCCTGTCCAGCCCCTGGCAACCACTAATCTGCTTTCTGCCTCTATGCATTTGCCTATTCTGAACAATTCATATAAATGAGATCATACAACATGTATTATGAGGTTTTTAATAAAGAAAAATGAAGACCAATTTCTATGCTGATAAGATAGGCCATGTAGAGAAGCTTACATAACTCAGGCAAACCGTAAGTGGAGGAGCAGAGTTCTGGACAAGGAATTGACTTTGTGCCTCGTCCCTGAGCGCCAGCTCTGCCACTTGCCACTGCAGAATCTCTTATGGAGTCACCCCCAGGCCACCTTTTCCTGGCTGCAGCTCCCTTCCTGAAAAAGCCATTAAGAGCCCTTCTGGCTCTGAAACGCTATGATTTTAAGTGAAAGTACACTAAAAAAGGGCAGCAAATAGTCTTATCTAATCTTATCTGGCAAAACAAGCACCAAGCGGGTGCATTTTCCATGGTGAAGAGCCACACCCGGCAGCTGTGGCCTCGCTCTGTGACCTAAGCATGTCGGCAGCTGCTGCCAGAGAAGCAGTTAATGTCCTACCTTCTGACAGAATCTGGTGGTAGGGCCGTCTTCTGCTGACTCGGCAAATTCCGTCCAAGGAAGCTTCTCTCTTGTACAGAAAGCAAAGGGCATAGCTGTGAAGAGAAGAAAGGTCAGAATTATATCCAACACTCATGACCTGGCGACAGGGTCCCCACCAGAGCCCATAGCCACAAGTGCCTTGGGCTGGCTTCCAAGTCCCGTCCCTGGCTGTGGACACTGGGAAGATCCTAACCTTTCGGGCTTCATAGCAAAACAAGGGGCTAGGCCAAATGTCTTTCCTCCAGTCTTAGAAACAATTACAGCACAGACTTGAACAAATATTTTGCACACCCATGTTCACAGCAGCATTATTCGCAAGAGCTGAAAAATGAAATAACCCAAGTCCACTGATGGATGCAGGGATAAACAAAATGGGGTATATGCAAACAGTGGAATATTATTCAACCTTAAAAAGGCAGGACATTCTGACACAAGCTACAACATGGGTGAACCTTGAAGACATTATGCTACGTGAAATAAGACAGTCATAAAAGGATAAATGCTGTACAATTCCATTTATATGAGGTACCCAGAATAGGCAAACTCACAGAGACAGACAGAAAGTCTGGTTGCCAGGGACTGGGAGGAGGGGAGAATGGAGAGCTGTTGTTTACTAGGGACAGAGCTTCAGTGGGGAAAAAATGAAACAGTTCTGGAGATGGATGGTGGTGATGGTTGCACAACAATGTGAACATAATACCACAGAACTATACGTTTAAAAATAGCTAAAATAGGGGCTGGCCGGGTGGCGTAGTTGCTTAGAGTGCAAGCTCTGAGCAACAGGGTCACCAGTTTGATTCCCACATGGGCCAGTGAGCTGCGCCCAAGCTGAGCTGCTGCTGAGCTGCCAATGGGCAGCTGGATGGCTCAGCTGGTGAGAGCACATGCTCCTCACAACAAGGCTGCCGGTTCGACTCCCACATGGGATGGTGGGCTGCGCCCCTCCCCGCAACTAGATTGAAAATGGCGACTGGACTTGGAGCTAAGCTGCGGCCTCCACAACTAAGATTGAAGGATAACAACTTGACTTGGAGCTGATGGGTCCTGGAAAAATACAATGTTCCCCTTCCCCAATTCCCCAACACTGTTCCCTTCCCCAGTTCCCCAATAAAATCTTTAAAAAAACAAAACGCTAAAATAGTGTTATGTTGTGTCTATCTTACCATAATAAAAAATATATATATACACATTTTAAATTTTTCGAAAGGTACAGCCCCAAACTGTTCCTAACAAGCAGATCCCAAGCTGCTGGCCAATCTGCAGGTTGCTAAGAGCACAGTCAAGACTCCTCAGGGAGGGAAAAAAAGAAGTATCTGAGGGCCAGTGAGGATGGCGCTGGGATCCGCGGAGCGCCACCATAGGCATGCTCCTTCTCCAGGGACAGGGAAGCTTCTTCAGGAAAAAAAAATCCGCTCACTTAATGACCCCATAGGAAGTTTGGGAACCACTGGATGGGTTGAGCAGACCCCAAGGGTAAATATATCACAGTTATATGCAGCTTAATGATGGGGACACATACTGAGAAATGCGTCACTATGTGCTTGTCATGGTGCGAATACCACAAAGTGCACTTACACAAATCCAGATGGTACAGCACACTGCACACCTAGGCTGCATGGTACAGCCTATTGCTCCTAAGCTACAAACCTGTACAGCATGTTACTGTACAAAACAACACGAGATTAAATCAAGCACAAGAGAAAATGATGCATTTGGTGGTTACCAGAGGGTAAAGGAGGAGGAGGGTGGTAGAAGAGGGTAAAAGGGATCAAATCTATGGTGATGGCAGGAGAACTGACTCTGGGTGGTGAACACACAGTGTGATATACAGACGATGTATTACAGAATTGTACACGTGAAACCTATGTAGCTTTACTAACAATTGTCACCCCAATAAACTTTTTAATTTAAAAAAAAAGAGAGAAAATTATGCAGTGAAGAGATACAGTAAACAGATGTATGAGGCTCTTGCTGACCTAACACTGCATACTGTTGACAGCAAACTGTTTTTTAATGAGTAGTAAGAGTACACTCTGAAATACCAGTAAAAATATAGCATAGAAAATACATAAACCAGCCACATAGTTGTTTATTATCATTAAGTATTACGAGTATGTACTGTACATAATTGCAGTTATACTTTTATACAACAGGCAGCACAGTACGGTTTGTTTATACCAGCATCACCACAAACATGTGAGTAATGTGTTGTGCTACAATGTTACGATGGCTGTGATGTCACTAGACCATAGGAATTTTTCAGCTCCATTATAATCTTATAGGACCACCGTCATATACTCGGTCTGTCATTGACAGAAACGTCATTATGTGGGCACATGACTGTATTCCTATGATCTCTGACTAGATGCCACCAGGGGCTAATTCAATAGGCAATTTCATTAAACTCATTAATTTTTGTTTGCTTTTTTTTTTTTCAAAACAGTGTATATATATATATATATATATATATATATACACACACACACACACACACACACACACACACACACACACACACACACATATAGTAATTGTTCAAAGAACACTACACACACTAGGTTCAAAGGTTCAAAATGGCAGCTTCCTGTGTGGGAGAGAGAAGGGACTGTGATGGAGGTGGGCGCCAGGGGCCTCTGGCTGTGTGCGTTCCATCACTTTAAAGCCTCAGTCACACTCTTTAATATCTGCCAGTCTGATGGCATGAACTGGCATCTCACAGTGATTAAATGTGCATTTCCCTTGTCACTAGTGAGGAGGAACTCCTTGCCGGGTGGTCACTGGCCTTCTGGGTTCATCTGTTAGGCCATCTTTTTACCATCTTTTTAGTACCCTTTGCCCATTTCCTACTGAACTGTTGTTTCTTTTTGGAGTATTGAATTCTTTGGACCAATTCCGTATAATCTATATATTTTCCTCTTCCAAATAACCCAAGTCCATTTCTTTCAGGGGCATTAGCCTAATGGAAGTTTCCAGATGCTTGCCGGTGTTCTGGTCACCCTGAACTGAATAACCTGTGTGTGTGTGTGGGGGGTATGGGGGGGCGCAATATGAGAAGCTGTGTGACGTGACTAGAGTGCTTTAACTGCTTACGACCTGTCTGGGGGTAATAACTGTATCCAACCTTTCCCAAACACAGGCCATATACCCAGCACAGTGCCAGGCCTGATAATACGTGATACCCCTGCCAAGTAGGTGTGACTCTCCTCGCTTCACAGAGAAGGAAGAGAAGCATTAACCTCCCAATTCCTTCTAGTCTCAAGAAGCCTGGAACTAAGATGGCACTAGTGTGAAGAGGCCACCAGTGGCACCACCACCATCTTGGCTGCCAGGGGTGGTGGCCCAAGGAGGCACCTAAGTGAGCACCAGCCTCTGCCAGCAATAGCCCCAAGGGCCTTGGCACCAGGTTCAAGACTCCCCAGGCTCCTCTTCAGTAAAGAGGGATGAACTGTTTTAAGGAAGCCGACAAAAAAAGCTGTTGATAACAAAAGTGATCCTTAATGACCATTCATTCTCAGCTTTCAGAGCATTAGGAGAGACTCAAATGCCCCAAGAGAATAAAATCTCCCTTTCTGATTTCATTTCAGGTTGCTAAGCTCTCCAAATTTCTCTATTTCCATTTTAATGGCTTTCCACCCCTGTTTATACAACCACTGTAATGTAAACAACCTTTCAAAAGAAGGATGTGGGATGGAGGTTGGGGGAGGTTGGCTGCAAAGTCTCAACTAATTTCAAATTAGAAGGGAAGAGCGTTTCCCATTCATTGAACCAACACTCCCTAGATTTATTCCCTGTAAATTTATACTTGGCTTTGCTCTCAGGAGCTGCCAGCTTAGATGGGGGAGCTGAATTATAACCTGGTGTGGCTGCATGACACAATAGAGTGCTCAGTTCTGTGTAGGGGAGTCCCCAGGGCCCCTCAAAGGAGGAGGTGTTTGTGCTAGGCCTTGATGGGTGAGTGGGAGTGTTCCAGATCCAAAAAAGGGAAGAAGTTGGTTAAACCATCCAATAAATATTTTTTTTAGTGTCTGTCATGTACCAGGAATTGTTCAAGCCACTAAAAATAAAATGGGGATGGGGGACTGAATAAAGAACATATGATATATCCATACAATATTATTCAACCATAAAAAGGAATGAAATTCTGACACAGGCAACCACATGGATGGACCTTGAAAACATTATGTTAAGTGAAATAAGTCAGACACAAAAGGACAAATACTGTATGATTCCACTTATAGGAAGTACCTAGAGTAGTCAAATTCATAGAGAGAGAAAGTAGAATAGAGGCTATCAGGGGTGAGGAAGGAGGGGGTGTTATTGTTAAATGAGCACAGAGTTTTTGTTGGAGATGATGAAAAAGTTTTGTGTGTTGATAGTGGTGATAGTTATACAACTTTGTGAATGTATTCAATGCCACCGAATTGTACATTTACCAATGGTTAAAATGATAAATAATATGTTATGTATATTTTATCACAGTTCAATTTATTTTTAATGTTAAAAAAATAGGGGTGGGGATTAGGATGGGAAAAATAAATCAACATTCAGTCACTGGCCTCATGAAGCTTACAGCCTAATGGAAGAGGCAGAAAAATTAAAAGTGTCATACAAACAAGAATAGCAGTACACATGTATTAAAAACAAGAAATGTTTAAAGTGAGATGAACTTCTGGGTGCAGATGGCAGTCTGGACTGACAGCTTTTCTTTTTCCTGAAACCCCAGTAACATGACAGTAAAGGGATTTTTATGCAAAGGTAAAAACCCACAAGGACGGGACACTGAGAAAGGGACAACAGCGACAACACATGAGAGGCTGGACAGCCGAGGGATGCATATAGATATCTTAGAGGATTGAGAAAACTGAGTACCCCCAGCAGTGGAGGAGGCCAGGAAGCACCCCACTTTCCACCACAGACACCTCAAAAGTTCAGGAGTCAGAGGCACCATGTAGATCTGAAGATGGAGAAATAGGAAAGTGTGACAAACAAGAAGGATGGGTCCAAAGTCTGTTTAAGAAGCAGTTAGAAGCCCAGATCTCTCCTCCACTATAAGAAGCTGGGATGTGCCCCTCCCACCCCATTAGAAGGCTAGAGGTTCATTCTCCAGACAGTTAAACAGAGGGTCTCTGGCCTTGGGGAAACCAACACAGATAAAGGTGAGGACAGTATCCAAAACAGATGACTAAGTAAATATCAGCATACTAGACCCCTGTTCTCTTTCTCTTCTTGGCAAGAGATTAGAAGAATCTTCTCTGGCGAATCTTACCAGACTGAAAAGAATGGCCCAAAGATAGTTTCATGGGGGATTACGGAACAATTAGCTAAACCAGGTCATCCTATTATGAAGTTCAGTGGAGGAACCCCTCCAACAAACACATATTGCAATCAGCTTTTCAATCCCCAATTCTAAAAAAAAAAACACAAAAAAAACCCAAAACCCCAAAAGACTAACTGGAGTAAGAAGGGACCATGCAAAAAGAAAAATAAATTACTACTTACTATTTTCAGAGATAAGGGAAGATACTGCAACTACAAAATTAAAACAGGATGTAATTAAACAGGACCTTTCTGACCAAAAGAACTCTAATAAATTTAAAATATGAGAGCAGAAACAAAAGACAGAATAGAAAGCTGAGTGACTAAGTGGGTAAAATCTACCAGAAAAGTGAGAAAAAAAATACAGGGTTGAAAAATATGAGTAACTACATTTAAAAAATTAGCAATCTAGCCCAGTGTTCCAATATCTTAATAGTAGGATATCAGGAACAGGAGAGATTTAACCAAAAAAAAAAGGGGGGGGGAGAAAATCACTAATGAAACAAATAAGAAAATGTCCTAGATCTGAAGGACCCAAGATTTTAGACTAAAAGAACCCACTGAGTGCTTAGAATAATGGAATAAAATAGATACACACTATCTCACATCATTATGAAATTTCAAAGTATTGGAGAAAAAGAGAAGCTCCTACAACCTTCTAGAGAAAAATAAACAGGTCATAAACAATGGGGTCATAAATCAAAATTGCTTTAAACTAGTCAACAACTTCCGGAGCCAGAAGACAATGGAGCAAGGTGTTTAAACTTCTGAAGGAAAATTATTTCTTATCTAGAATTCTATACCCAACCAAACTATCAAGTAAGTTGTAGGAGGAACATATTTTCAGATATGCAAGGTCCCCAAAAGTTTACCTCCTACGTGTGCTTTCTCAGGGAACTATAGTTGACCCTTGAGCAACACAGGGGTTAGGAGAACCAACTCCTTGTGCAGTTGAAAATCTGTGTATAACTTTTGACTCCCCAAAGATTTAACTACTAATAGCCTATTGTTTTGTTTTGTTTTAGCTGAGCCATCCTGCTACCTGTTGGCAGCTCAGCGACTGCTCAGCTCCGGCCGGGACTCGAACCGGCTGTTGCTCAGAGCTCAAACTCTTGAGCGAGCTCTTAACCAACTGAGCCACTCGGCCGGCCCCACTAATAGCCTATTGTTGGCTGGAAGCCTTACTGATAACATAAACAGTCAATTAACACATATTTTGTAGGTTATATGCATCATATACTATCTTCTTACAATAAAGTAAGCTAGAGAAAAGAAAATGTTATTAAGAAAATCAAAAGGAAGAGAAAATACATTTACAGTAGTATGCTGTATTTATTCAACCAATAAGTTTACATTGTCTGTTTACAAGATGAAAAAAAAATCCATGTAAGCGAACCCACACAGTTCAAACCCATGTTAATCAAGGGTCAACTGTGCTCAACCAAAATGAGAAAAAGAGGAAGGTGTGGGGTGGGAGATCACAAGAGCAAGGCAAAGGGGTTCCCTAGGATGACAGTGATGGAAAATCCCAAGATGACAGCTGTGCAGCCAGCAGAGGAGGCAACCAATTCAGACAAAAGGCAGCCAGGAGGCTGTGGGACACATTCCTTCAAGGAGATGAAACCAACAGACCACTTCATGTGCCTAAACCTCTTAATGGGATTTAGGAAACTGGCAGGAATTTGGGAGTAGAATTTGTGGTAAGTATGTTAAAACAAAACAAACTCCAGGGAAAACAGAAAGCTGTTCAGGGAAAGAAAACAAGGTTTACAAAATGGTTTGGCAGAGGATGGACAAAGGATAGACTAGGAAGGATCCACGTGTGTCAAGGGGACAGAAAGAGGGAAAAGACCAACTCAGTCTTCTTCCATAGTGGGAAATCAATAGATGATTTAAAACTGAAAAATGAGGAAGCAGCAACACAAACAAAAGTAAATTCCAAAGGAACCAGCTAAGAGTTGAAAGTTAGCTACCTCTAAGGAAAAGGATAGTCATTTTTTTGGTAACAGACCTTGTAGACCCATTTGACTCTAAACCATGAATATGTATGACTTTGAGAAAAATAAAAATGAACTAAAGAAAAGGTATGTGGTACCAGGGTATAGCACAGGGACACAACTTTGGGTAGAGAGGTGGGCTCTGAGCAGAGAGATGAAGGTTGAGCAGGGTTAACTAGGCAAGAGGAGGGAACAGCTGATGCAATGACTGGGAGGAGGGAGAGGGTACCTTAGGGGACTGAAAGATCAGGGAGGTCAGGGCAGAGCCAAGCAGAGAGGCGGCTACAGAGGTGGGGGGGAAGGAACAGACTATGCAGTGCAGAGTTGCGTTTTGAAAAGATCTTTCCTAGAAGGTGTGGATAGCCAGTTAGAAGGCACCAGAGTAGAGGGCCCCAGGACACCAGCTAGAGACAAGTACAGAAGTCAGTGTGAGAGCTGATGGTGCCCTGGACCAGGGCAGTGGTAAGGAGGAGGGGAGGAAGAAGTGAAAGGATTCGGAATGATGTGGGAGGAGGAATTGATAGGACCAGATGACAGACTGGGGCGTGTGAGAGGGAGGGAGCCTGGGGTTTCTGGGTTTCTGCTATTGTTGACAAAGAACCTCTGTATGGGTGAAAAAAGAAAGGAGATTTTTATTTTTTTAAATTGGGTAGCAGACACTCTTGGCAACATGACGATAACACACTACTGTCTGAGGGTGGCAGAGAAAGCACCCCAAGAGAGACTTACTCCACGCTTCCTGGAAACAGATGATGTTGACTCCACACATTGCCGCCACCTCTACAATGGCCTCTATGCGTCTGTGAAGGGCAGAGACCTGGCAATTTAAAAATCGAGGATCAGAACTCATTAGTGCTATTGGTTGAGATCATTTTTAGATCTCATCCCAAAGAATGTAGAACAGCCCCTCACCCAGCCAGCTGCTAGAAGATGAGCTGGGTGGGGAGGTTCTGATATGTCATACTGTCATCAGATCCAAAATCTGCAATAAAAAAGGCTCTGGAGTCCCCCACACACTTGACACTACCTTTCTGAGGTTTGGTTTCCTTGCCTGGAGAATAGGGAGAACACTGCCTACCTCGCTAAGGAGAGTCACGAGGCTGTGTGCTGCTTACTCCAAGAGTGGCCAACACCCAGTGGACCCACTGAACACCAGGACCATCCGCTGGGTTAGCTGTTTCCTCGCCCCAGGACACAGTCCCCTTTCCACCATCCTGCATTCAAGGCTTTGGGGATGCCTTGTCTTGTCACTTCTATTTTCCTATGTGTATCTTATCACCCAATGACTCGCCTTTCCCAGCTATGCTCCTGGCCAACAACGTGCTTTCTTCCCCGACCCAATCCTTCCTGGAAGTGTTATCCATGTCATGTGTCATCCACAGAGGGGAGACTCTCCCAGGAGTACTGAGGTACCTCTGTGCTCCCCAGCCCACGTGTGCCCCTACGGTAATGCTGTTCCCATTGTGCTGTCAGGTTTCTCCACTGTTACGCCCGTGACCCCACGAGCTCCTTGGGGGCAAGAGGAAAGTGTCCTCGTCTTCTCTGTGTCCTCAGCACAACAGCTGGCTCCCAGGAGACATTCAGAAGTGTTTGTTCGAAGACAGATCAGAGGAACCAGGCTGGAAATCCGGAGAGTACACTCTTTACAATGCTCTGTCTCTCCCCTGCAAGACTGCGCACATGGAGGTTTGCTGGGGGCTGACAGCATGCAAAGCGTGCTTCTAGGAGCTGTGGGGGTAAGAACAGCACCCCTGCCCTTGATTACCTGATAATCTGGGATGGTTGAGGAGACATGTTCACAGTCCACTAATTCAGAGACAGAAAGTGAACTGAGAACCAGAAATCTTGTAATCCAACAAAAGCAAAGGAAGGAGGACCAACGTGAAAGACAATGCAGGATCCGACCTGGAATCCAACTGACCTTAGGTTTCTCAAGGGTCCCTAAGAATTCTCAAGCACGCTGTGTCTGGAGGACACCTCGGCAGAGAAAGCCTGGGAAATTTGAGCAGCTGGAGGAAAGCTGTGAAGAAGTGTATACAACACACTGCCAGTGTCTGTGACAACATGTTTCTTTAGGGAAATACAAGATGCTGTCACATTGACATTAACTGTAAGGTCATAAGTGAATGCCTATCATATGCCCGCAACCCTGCAGGCACCATCAGCTGGCAGACATCTGGGGATAGTGAGTCCCACCCTGAGAAACATGGCAAAGAAACACATGGACAAACGGACAGGTCCTGGCTGGTGTGTGCTGGCAGGTGGCCTTTTGGCAGGAGATTGAGAGGCAGAGTTCCGTGGGAGTGTGAGCCAGCCAAAAGGGCACCGTCCCAACTGGTACATGGAACAATGGATCAATCACAGGAGAGGAAGTGGAAGGGAAGGTGGGAAGAACAGTGAGGAGTGAGAGGAAGGCATTGAAAAGGGAGGAGCCGGAAGAGAAAGACGAGCCAGAGAAAGACACAGGCTGGAGGGAAGGGGGCGGCCAGGGCAGAAGAGTCTGGGCGACCATGTGACTACTCACTGTGCCTGCCGGCCCATGGCAAGTGGCCAGCAAGGGGCTGTGGATGTGTTCAAAACACAGAGCAGGCCATGGCCCATTTACGAGTATGTATTTATGGTCAAAAGAGGCCGCACCTGTTTCGCCACAGGGGCATCCACAGGCAGGGGCGTTCTGTTCTGAACAAGCCCGACACGCACGGTCCGAGGTCGCCTCAGCTGCTCCTCTGCTGCCTCGAAGGCGTGACCCTGCAGCTCAAAGTCCCCTTCAGAGGCCAATTCAAAAGCTCTGCTGGGCAGGTCGAGCTTCCTACATGGGCAGGAAAGAAGAGGGGAGATGATTTGCATGAGGTGTGCTGAATTTAAAATTCCCCCTACCCCACAATCATTCATCAGGAAGAGAAGAGGTGGTGCGTCCTGACAGAAGGCAGACAGAGCAGTCCAGCGCCAGAGCACGCACGTGTGGGGAGTTGGAGTGGGGCCTGGCGGAGAGGGAGGGCCTGGCTGGCAGGGAACAGACACCACACGGCGTGTGGACTTCACTTGACAGTCGCTGGGAAGACTTCAGCAGGGAGACGGCAGTGGTCAGGCCAGGCCAAGGGAGAAAGGAGGGTGCGGGGTGTGGGCGGCAAGGAAACTCATAAAGAGTTGATGTTTCAGAGATGCTTAACGTCAGAGTGGGATTCAAGTCTCAGCAGTCAGCGCAGAAGTGAGGGAATGGATCCCCCAAAATGTCTGTGGACTAGAATCAGAGGGCTCTGCTGAGTCTGGGGGGATGGGGCAGGCTGTGGTAAGACAGAGGGGAACCAGGCTCAGGAGACCACTGGGTGGAGATGCCAGGACTGACAGTATTACCAAGGGCCACACCACCAAGGGTTACGCTCTCTGGAGGGGATCTGCTGCTACTCCTGCCAGGGGATCGGCAGGGGTGGGGGTTGGGGGTGGCAGCGGTGCCTTGCCCGGTGCTGGGTGGACGTACAAATGTCCAGACCAAAGGCCCACGCACTCATCCCGGTTTGTGGTTTATTAACAAAGGCAAGTGGATTATTTATAAAACCTCCCACTGAAGTGACCGTTGGCCAAATGGCAAATAACCTCCTGATGCCCGCTGCCTGCCCGGCACTGAGGTGAAACCCACAAGGCAAGGCACGGGGCTTGGCCCCTGGCCAAGAAAGCCTTACCATCTAGGGATGAGATAGTTATGAAATACCTAGAGAACACATCAAAAAATAACCTGACAACCATTATCTAATAATAATATTTCCCTCCCACTTTAAGTCATTTTCTTAAAGATGTTTCTTTCAAAATCACAGCCCTGTCAGTCCAAGCCCCGTCACCGCCCCCTGCCAGGCGGTTTTCATGTGATGGCCTTGACAGCTCCGAGTTGGGTTCCGCCCCTGACAATCAGCCTGCTTTTCAACTCATCAGAGTTCTGTTTGCTTCAGCAGGTTAGAAATAACAGCAGTGCCCACACCACGCCTCCCTTTGCCGTGACTGCTTCAGAGACAGTCTTCCTGCCCCCATGTGGAGGGACCCCCATCCTGGCAGCCCTCAGCCCCAGGAAAAGTCACCATGGTGGACAGGAGAAGGAGAAGGGCGTGTCTGTTTCCTCTTAGGTCTGTGGGCTGGGGAGCTGGACCGCCCTTTGGGAGAGGTCCTGGCAGCCCCGTCCTCAGCCTGTGGTCTCACCCAGGAAGATATCAAGTGGATGAGGTCTTGTCTTGGATTTGCAAGCCCAGCTGTAACCATCATCTGGATGATATCCTTCAGCCTCTGGTCATCTCTCCCCACCCACCACCCACAGCTGTCTGCTCTCCCCATCTAGCCACCACCATCAGCCTCATTATTCCACGATGCACAACCTTCCTGCCTCCTCACCATCTTTTTTGAGTGCTGCCTCTATCCCTCTACCCACCCCAGCTCCCCACAGACGCTCTTTCTCCCAGGCCCGAGGCGATACAGGCCAGGCCTCTCCACGTTCAAGGCTCTACCTCCTCCACATCCCCTACTGTAAGGTTTCCCCATCCTGCTGTTATCCAGGGGGTCCATTGCCAAGTCTTGGAGGATCCAATCAACCCTTGAGCCCCATTCCATAAACGTGCTGGGCCCACCAAAGGCTTGGCTTGGGGATGTGGTGGGGTACAGATCAGCTGTGGTCCAGGAAGGTCAGAGACAGCAAACGAGCCGCAACCTCACACAGCAGGTGGAAGACCCATGCTGCCCAGAACCCTCCGACTAAGGCCCCCACCCCTCGTGGCCTCACCTCTGTCTTCAAGGAGGAAAACCCAGCACCTCCTGTCCTGGCCCCAACACACCCTCCCGGCCCTTCCCCAGGGCCCCTGCCTCTCCACCCAGGGTCAAGGCAGGACTCACCTCAGGGAAACCACCTCCTGCCTCCTCGGCAACCTCTCGCTTCTACAACGTCATCTTTCCCTCTCTAATGGCTCTTTACCATCAGTGTTTTAAATAATTAAACTAGAGCTTTGTTACAAAAGAAACACATGTTCATGGGGGGGAAAAAATCAAACAGTGGAAAAAGGTAATGAGTTCCCCTCTCCATTTCCACCCCTTAGCCCCAGTCCTAAAATTCAGAGATGACTCCTCTTAGCAATGTTTTATGTATCTTTCCAATAGTTTTCTATATGTGTGTTACAAATATAATAGCATCAGTCTGTATAGCCTGCTCTCCCATTTGCTTTTTCACTTAACAATACACGTGAGTTGGACATTCCTCTCTGTCCCCTACCATCCTACCATACTCACCACTAAAGGTGATTGAGTCTCTCCCATTAAAAAATAGGAAGAAAAAAAAAAACAAACAGAAGGGAGAGCTCACTCTACACAGGTTCCCCTTGTTACCTCAATGCTCTGTCTCTCCTCCCCTCCTCTCCACAGGAAGCTTCCCCACAATCCTTACCTACCACACCTCCCTCAGCCCCCTGTTCCCGCTCAACACTTCCCACCTTGGGCCACCAGCCTTCTGGTTGTTACAGCTGCAGAATCCCTGCTGTCTTCATCCTACTAGACCTCCTTATGCCACCTGACACTCTGTCCCTGTCTGGCTCAGTGTCCCTGATAACCACCCCAGGGTCTCCCACCACTGTCCTCTCACCTCTAGAGTCTCCCACAAAGTCTCTGCTTCCTCTGACCCCTTTAACATTGGGTTCTCTAGAACCCCACTCTGCACCCTCTCCTCCTCCATCTGGAATGACCATCTCTAGGACAACCCCAACCCCTGCCTCCTCCCTGAGGCCCGTCTTCCTCATGGTCCCTGTAGTTGGTCGAGCTATGGCCCCCCTAAAAGGTATGTCCATGTCTTAATACTCAAAACCTGTGAATGGGACCTTATTTGGAGGAAGTTTCTTTGCATTGTAATTAAGGATCTTAAGATAAGACTATCCTGGATTATCTGGGTGAGCCCTAAATTCAGTGATAAGTGTTCTTGTAAGTGATGCCCAGAGGATGTGAAGAGAGGCAGAGATTGGAGTGATGCTGCCATAAGCCAAGGAATGCCAGGCACCACCAGAAGCTAGAAAAGGCAGGGAAGGATTCTCCCCCAGATCCTCTGGGGGAGCGTGGCTCTGCGACACCCTGATTTTGTGCTTTTGGTCTTCAGAACTATGAGAACAAGTTGAAGCCACCAGTTTGTGATAATTTGTTACAGCAGCCCTAGGAAGCTCAACAATTCAATTCACCAGCCTTTTCCCAAGCTGCTCCTCATCAGATGAGTCCACCAGCCACCTGATGGTCCAAGCAGACCTATCCTTGCCTCCTCCACCGTACCTGCTATCCACACTGTTCCCTGACCTCCCTGAGACCTCTGGTGCCATTCCCCTTCTCCACCCCCTTAGGCCTCCTCATCTTTCACCTGCCCTTTTCAAATTCTTGGAAGGCTCCCACCACCATCAGGACAAGTCCCACTGCTTCAGAATGACATATAGAACCCCCAGGCCTCATCCCGGCTGCTGCTACCTCCTCTCTTGGGTGACCCCCACAGCACGCTACACCCACAATCTCCGAATGGACATGTCCCCTGGTGTCTGGGCCTTGGCCTGGAGTACCTCAGCCCTCTCTGTCTCCAAACCGACTCCTCCATCTCCTTCTGGATGCATCTCAAGCATGGCGCCTCTGGGAAGCCTTTAAGACCTGTCCTAACCCTATACGTGTGGACTGTCCAGCTCTCCCTGCATCTTTCTCTCACAACATAGAACAACCCTTAAAAGAAAGCCCCTTGAGGGCTGGAACCATGGCTTACTCATCCTTGTATCCCTAGTGCCTAAGACAAAAATAAATGCTCAATAAATGTTTGTTGAATGGATAAATGCTTCTTGGTTCTGGCTGTCTTGAAATTGAGAGTTGATGTTCTTTGGGGATTTCATCTGTCTGGCACAGGCAAAGGCCGATTTAGCTCATCATTTAGCAAACATTTACTAAGCATCCTCTTTGTGTTGGGCAGCATGTCATTGGGAGAGAAGGTGGTCTTGTGTGGAGCACAGGAGTCCAGAGAAGGGGCTGAGGATTCAGGCTCCACCAGACCTTCATACAGGCAGCCATGTTCGAGTCAGGCTATGAGGCGTGAACAGGAGTTTAAGTGGGAGAAGAGTTTTTAAATGATTAATTTCCTATTTTAGTTTGCAATCTTGTTCATAGCCCAATCCCACCCAATCGCAAAAACTGAGCAAGTACAAAGGTTGATGCTCTGCAGGTAAAGCTTGGAAGGGCTCAGTGATGAGTGGAACAGACCAAGAAACGGAAATAGGATACAGAGAGGAAAAGGAGAGCCACTCACTCAGTTATGGTGAGCCGAGCCCCAGGATGAGGCCTGGCAGTCATTAGTCAACGGATTTTGGCTCCCGTTTTACCACCCATTACAATCCCTCCCCGCTCTAGAGCAACCCAGATGCTCATGCAAAGTCTTTCTTGCAAGGTGTCCTTACCCTGATTTCTAGGATGTGCCCCAGCCAATCACCTATGTAGGAAACATTTCTTTTGTCCTGCTTTGCGTTTCCCTGACTCCCATGAGTTCTCTCCATCTTTTTTCCAGGAGAACATGCCCACCTCACCCTTAAAACAAACCTTCTCATCCCTAGAACTGTAGCCTGAGATACTTCTTGCTTTAAGACACCTTCCTGACACCTTTTTGGGGAGCCTCAACTCTAAGGGGCTTCCCCTATGATGAGCCTTGACAGGTTCAGTGGAAAGCAGTAAGCCGGCAAAAGCACACTGGAGGGGCCTTGAAGGTCATCCAGTCCCAGTATTCCCCTTTGGGCATGAAGAACCCCTTTTAACCAAATTCTGTACCACTCCCACCCCCAAAGGCAGTTGTTCTACCTTTATCATCCACAAATGTGAAAACACCTTTGCTTTGGAGGTCTGACCTCCTTACAGTAACTAACTCCAGAGCAGCTGGAGGCTGGGAACTACTGATCCAATCAACACCCTCAAGTTTCTGGTGAGTTGACCAGGTTCTTGCCTCAAGGTCACTGCCAAGGTCAGATAGCCTGCCACTTGGCAAGCAGTCGAAGAACATTTAGTCAGGAACTTAATGGGGTCAGAGTTTGGATTTCATTCTAAGAGCCATAAAGATCCCTTACAGACCGTTAAGCAAAGGAGCAACAGAATATGATTTACATCTGGTTGCTTTGAGAAAAGTGAACTGAAGAGAAACCAGAGTAGAAGAAGTGTCTTCCAGCTTTGTATACCCAGTGTCCAGCAGGGCACTGTCCTCAGAAAGCCCTCATGATGCACAGGACTGGCTGGGAGTGGGAAAACATTTGCACTGAGTGTGGTAACTAACTTCTATGGCTTGCCAAGCGGGAAAGGTGCCTTGGCGGATCAGATTCAGAAGGCCTTTACCTCCAAGGGTCCGCCAGACGCTGGGTCACTACAGGGAAGAGGGGCTAGGACTGGACAATCTGTTGACCTGGAGGGGCCTCTGGCTGGAGGCACTGACCAAGACAGACACCCAGAGTACAGGCCTGGATGGGGGAGAGTGCTGGTCACTGGAAGAAGGTAAGGAGAGTTAGGTGGCCACAAAGAAAGCCTCAGGGAGTAAAATACTGGTCCTTTCCCTTCCGGTTCCAGGCAACTGGGCTTGTAAAAGTTGTGCAACCCCTGAGCGCCTCAGAGCCATCACATTTAGACTTCCTACGTCTCTGCTCAGCCACTTCAGGACTTCATCATCGCCCCCTCAGAGCCTTTCAGATCCTGAAGCACTCTCCCCGGTCCCTCAGACCCCTACTCGCTGGCCCCAAGGTACCCCCAACCCCAGCCCCTGGGCCGCAGACCTGGTCTCCTTGCCATAGAGAATGCGTTTCACCTCCCGCAAGTCTGCGGGCTGCAGGTTATTCTCCAAGCATTGCTCCAGCGACTCCCATTCAGGCCCGGCCATGGTTGGTTGGAGTCCGCAAGCGTCGATGTCCAGACCCAAACTGCCTGCCCTTTACCCCCAGGGGGAGGAGAAGGAAGAGGGGAGGGCCGGCAGGCGCAGCGCCCTCCCCCTACTCGCCCAGACTTCCGCCCCTGGTGGGCTCACGTGAGGACAGGCCCCCTCCCCGTGCCCCTGCCGCGCGCGGATGGTCCGCGCTCCAGGGCTTCGCGGGTGGCCCTGCTCCCGCCCTCGCCCCTTGCCCAGCGCGCCTGCTCCGGCACCGGGCAGCTCCGAGCCCTTGAGCCTCAGCAGCTCGCGGCGGGCCGGGGCTGTGCCCTTCTGTCGCCCAGCTGCGGGTTTCCAGGGCCGTTCTCTTGCCTTCTCGTTCTCGCTCGCCTTCAGGTTTCACTTCCCACCTGCCCGGAAGCGTCGGGCCGGGACCTAGAACCTGGAGAGGCGGGGAGGGAGGCTGCGGCGGTGCGGGTCTGCGGTCAAGGGCTGGCCCGCCGGGGCGCCGCTTCCGCCCTCTCGCACCCTGGCGGGACCGTTCCCGCGACAACCCGTGGGCAGGGCCTCTCCCCGCCGCGACTCCGGTCTCCGGTCCGCAAAGTGTGGGGGGCAGCAAGCCGGCTGGCCCACCGCTCGGGACTGAGGAGGAAGGTACGGGACGAGTTTCAGGGTCCCGAGGGCAGGAGGCTGCCCCGCCTTCTTCCAGTGCCCTTTACTGCTGAGAAGTTATAACTCCCGAGGGGCCAGGCTATGCGTTCTGGCCGCTGCCTGGCAGCGCCCCCACCCCTGGCTTGGCATTGGGGCTCTGGCCCCACCGACATCGCTTGAGCGAAAGGTGAAGTGATCTCACGCGCTTTTGGGAAGTTAATTTTGCAACATTCTGGATCCCTACACAGCGGCTCACCCTTTGGGCCCTTTGGCCTTTTTAGCTCTGCCATCTGCAGTGGCTGGGCCCACACGGGCACTTTCCTGGCAGAGGGGCGCTTGAGACTGTCGCTGAGATGATAGGAGTGAGACCCCTCTTGCAGTTCCCTTCCATCAGAGGGTGCTATCCACTCAGGAGCCAAAGAAGGCCCTCTTTTCAGCCCATTTGAAAATTAGGACAGTAATGTCGGAGAGTGGGCCCTTCTCTGTGCAAAGTCCAGGTCCTTGGCAACTTGAGCAAAGAATTGAACGAGATGCGGGAGTAAAGTACTGAAAAAGTAGTTTATTTGAAGACATAGTACATTTCAAAGAGTTTGGAGGGGGCCATGCGCAAAGGTGAGGCTCAAAAAAGGGAGGAAGCAATCAAAAAGGGGGAAGGCGTGGAAAAAGGGGACTTCCCAGGACTTGGAGTTTTTATCCCCTTACTCTACAATGGGCTGGTCCCCTGTGGGCGTGGGACCACTTGATTGGCACCCTTAATTGACAAGAGGTACTGCACAGGTGCGAGTGACTGGTCTGATCTAGTTGGGTATTTTGCACCATTTGTTTCAGGGGTAGATAGTTACAATGAAAAGAAGTTTTGGGTGGAGAGGGGAGGTCTCCTAGGTGGTCACACTCTGTGGGACGTGCAGGAATGCAGAGACCCAATGCCTGCCTCTAACTGCCTGCCTTGTTTTCCCCTGAGAGACGTGATCCCCGTAAAATCTCTATGGGAAGCTGAGGGACAGGAGTCTCTTCTTCTGTATCTGCTGCCTGCTGGGCAGGGGCGTAGAGCTGTCCGTGCCTATTGGGGGAGTCAAGGAACTCTCACCCTAGCTCAGCGGTTCTCAACCTTCCTAGTGCCGCGACCCCTTAATACAGTTCCTCATGTTGTGGTGACCCCCAACCATAAAATTATTTTCGTTGCTACTCTATAACTGTCATTTTGCTGTTGTTATGAATCGTAATGTAAATATCTTTTTGTTTGTTTTCCGATGGTCTTAGGTGACCCCTGTGAAAGGGTCGTTCGACCCCCAAAGGGGTCGCGACCCACAGGTTGAGAACCGCTGCCTAGCTGATCTCAGATGAGAGGAAGGGGTCTTGAGCTCCGCCTGGAAGACCATGTTGGCTTCTTTGGTTGTGACTGGCAATCTTGTTGGGATATCCTCTGTATCCCCAAGGTCCCTGAATAAGGAAAAATAGATTTTAATTAATAAATCTGTTAGCTCTCGTGAAGCCTGTGGCCATTCAGCCTGTCACTCAGGTGGCGTCAATTGTCTGGGCCCAGAATGGGTTTGGAAAGAATCGTTAGGCTTACAGGCCTGCGGGATAATAGGAAGTCACAGGCTTTCAAGTAGTTATCTGAAGCAGGGGGATAGGAGAATTCTAGGATTCAGGCTAGGAGCAATTTTTAGTCTAGGATTTATAAACTGGTTAGAAAAGTAATCAAAGCCAAGAGCTAAGAAGCTAAGAAACTAGGGAGGAGACTTAACATTTCTATACTTAACATTCTTACAGGAAAGAAAACTTAAAAGTTCTCGGTAGTGGGGCGGGGGGAGGCTACTCAGTTGGCTGGTAACAGTAAGACCAGCCTAACTGATGGGCAGCATGGTGAAGGAATACGGTGGCCCAAATCCTGGTTTAGTCCTTTCTGAACATGCAACCCCAGGGAAGTTATTCAGACACTCTGGGCTTCTGTTGCTTGACCTGTAAAATAGGAATACAGTTACCTTGTATTAAACAACCAGGGTTGTTTAAAAGTCAGATAAGATAAGCACAAAGGGAGCTAAAAGTAGGTGTTGTAGGGCAAAGTACTTTACATATTTTGTATGGGCCACTAACTCAACTTTTGGTTGTTTTGATAAATGTTACCTAACAGTTTCCAGTATTCCCATGAAAAGTTTGCTGCCTTTTCAAGAATGCAAACTTTGATTGAAGGTTTTTGTATATTAGACTCTGAGATAAGGGCAATGCACAGACTAGCAAGACCTACCACCTTTCTCCATGATTTAAGGTAGGGACATACTTATAAATACAGCAGATTTAAATAATTTGCTATGAAAAAAGTATATGATATGCTGTGGAGAGGAAAGGGTGATTTCTGGCCTAGAAAAGGAAATCATTTAAGGCCTCATGGAGGAGTCCTTATTATTGACTCAAAATGCCTCAAAGAGAGTTTTAAACCCTCTTCTCAGGCCTGCTCTTACGTTCTATATGGTATTTCCTATTTTAAATAGTTAATGGCCTCACTGCCCACTCATTTGCCAAGCCTTTGGAAGTCATCCCCAACTCCTCTATGTTCTTTCTTTCCCCCATACAATCAAGCATCAAGTTCTGCTAAATTTATCTCCTGAATTTTGTTAAAATCTTTCCCCCTCCCACCTCATGCCTGCAATCATGTCATCTTTTGCTTGAATTGTTACCAGTTTTCTATAATAACTTATCTCTGATGTCTATCCTTAGCTGTCTTTCTAAAACTAATATCTTACATCCTTTGTACCCTCTCAGTGGCTGCCTATCTGGAATGACTTTCCATTTTCTGCTTTGTGACTTCCTATACATCCTCCAAGATGCAGGTCAAATATCACCTCCTCTGTAAAGTGTTTTCCAGTTGCTCCAGACAGAGCTGGACTCAGCTAACCCTTTATGGATGCCTCTGTTAGAGCATTTATCAAACACTATTTTGTAATTATTTCTGAGCTCTGAGCAGGAACTGGGTCTGATCTGCTTTTGTATCTGCAGGGCTTTAACATTCAGTAAATGACTGTTGAAGAAATTAATTCTGATGGGATCAAGGACAGATTCATTAATGTGGTGACATTTGAGCTGGACCTTGAAACAACGGAAGTAGAAACTATTATTACTAGTTAAATTGCTTAATCCATCTTTCCCCACTGTTAGGTGACAGGTCATTCACACGAGGCCATTATAAACCAGGGTTTCACAAATATGAAACACTACCTTGAATAGGATTTAAAAAGTTTTATTACAATTGTTATATTTGCCCAACTTATTTTTCACTTTCAATAATAAGACACTTCACTAGATCCTTCTGTGACAATCATTTAAAAAGACTTTAAGCTCTTCCCTAGTTTCTTTTTGAAATATCTGGCCAAACCCCAAAGATTTTAACTGCATGTAAGCATACTAGAATGAGGGAGTCTTGCTTTTTGTGAAGACCGACTCTTTCCGTGGCGACATGGTATGGTTTATGGATATATAATTATTTGTTAAGTGTATACAAATGGGAAGGCTGGAATACCCCACAACCTCACTATGGTGGTTACCTCTGGAGAAGGAGGGAGGGGAATAGGAATCATCTGCTGATACATAATGTTTTCATTCTTTAAAAAAAAAAAGATTCAAAGCATATGATATGAACATTAAAAAAATCTGTGTGTTTGTTATTATGCTTTTCTTTATGTTTATATTTTATTTTTAAAAAGGGCCGTCCACCAGGAGTCAGGAAATCTGCAGTTTAGTCTGGGTTCTACCGTTACTTCAGTTTTCCTGTTGTAAGAAAGGCGGGGGAGGGGAGGAAGCTGGGAAGACAGTCTCTAGAGATGATCTAAGCCTTCCCTAATTCTAATAAAATATGATTCTAATAATCTAGTCATATATAAGTTCCTCTCTTTACATGCCTATCTGTCACAAAAGAATTTCATTAAAGGCTGATTTTATAGAAAGAGCTCGTTTGTTAAAAATGTATTCGTGTCTGTTCTTAGGTGTTAGTTTAAATGTACAATGTGTGTTCATTTTAATCCTCAGGGAAGGTATTTAAGGTACTGTGGGCTTTGCTCAACAACATTTGAAAGAGTAAAATTTTATGATCATCATTGGTGAGCAATGCTTGCAAGGGCTGAAACTTGGAGATCCCACCTGGCCTCTTTTCTCCTGTGAGCCACAGGGGCTGCTTCTGCTCTCCTTTAGCGTTTTACAGCACACAAAAGCCTTTGCGTCTTTTTGTCCTGTGTGATCCTTCCAATAATATTTTGAGCTATCGGGTAAGGGTTCTTCCTTGGTATTTGTCAGATTTCCAAGTTAAACATGACACTGGAAATGAAAATATAGGAGCCAATATAGTCAAGGGGGAAAAGATCTGAGGTGACCCGATTTCTAATTCTGGCTTAACTTGTTTCTACATGGTGTTCCTTAGCTCAGAGGTCAAAGTT